AATATGCTCCCACACATGCATATGGCCTGAGCACCTGAATGTGGACAGTGGGCATGAGGCTGTGAATTTCTCATTTAGTTTTAATTACACTGTTCAAAGGAATCCATCTAGCCACAAATGATAACATATTTTCTTCATGGTTGTAGACGTTTCTACTCCACCCAATTGTTAACTGTCTGCCCCACGAGCCTGAAAGGCCCATGAGATTGACTGTCTAGCTGATTTGTTCTCGATCCTAATCCAGCAGCAGATGCCTGACATTTTATAGATGCTCATTAGATTTTTGCTGAATGAATCAGAGAATGGAAGCATAGATGGATGGATAATTGAGTTCATTTCAGATTCTTGATTTTGATGTTCTAATGGGTGAGGTGGATAGCCAATTGCATGACTGTGTCCACCATACCAAACCTTGATGGAATAAGACTCTTGGGCACCTGGCTGGCTCAGTCGGGAGAATGTCCAACTCTTGATCTCAGGGTCGTGAGTTCAAGCCCCATATTGGGCATGGAACCTACTATAAAATAGATAAATAGGGGCACCTGGGTAGCTCAGTTGGTTAAGCAACTGCCTTAAGCTCAGGTCATGTTCCCGGGGTCCTGGGATTGCGGCCCACATCAGGTGCTCTGCTAAGTGGGAAGCCTGCTTCTCCCTCTGCTGCTCCCCCTACTTGTGCTCTCTCTTTTTCAAATAAATAAGTAAAATATTAAAATAAATAAATAAATTGTTTAAAAAAGACTCTCATTAAGACTCCCATTAATACCAACTCCCCATTCTCCCTCTCCCCAATACACAGCAACCCCCATTCTACTTTCAGTCTATGAATTTGACTATTCTAACTAATTCCTATAAGTGGAATCATACAATATTTGTCTTTTGGTGATTGGCTTATTTCACTTACTATAAAATCCTTGAGACTCATTTATGTTGTTGTAGCCTGTGTTAGGTATTCCTTCCTTTTGAAGGATGAATAATATTCCATTGTATGGATTTGCCACATTTTGTTTATCTCTTCATCCATTGGTTGACACTTGAGTTACTTCTACCTTTTGGCTATTGTGAATAATGCTGCTATGAATATGGTGTACAAATATCTTTGAGTCTCTGCTTTCAGTTCTTCTGAGTGAATACCCAGAGGTGGAATTGCTAGATCATGTGATAATTCTGTGTTTAATTTTTTGAGAACTCACTAGACTGTTTTTCCAGGGTAGCTGCACCACTTTACATTCCCATAATGATGCAAAGGGTTTTGTTTTTTTTTTTGTTTGTTTTTTTTTTTTTTGCCAACACTTGCTATTTTCTGAGTTTTTGAGAATAGCCATCCTCATGGATGTGAAGTGGTATCTCTCTGTAGTTTTGATTTTCATTTCCCTAATACTTAGTGTTGTTGAGCGTCTTTTCATGTGCTTGTTGGCCATTTGTATATCTCCTTTAGAGAAATGGCTGTTCAAGTCCTTGCCCCATTTTAATCCATGTTTGTTTTCATGTTGAGTTGTAGGAGTTCTTTATATATTGTGGATATCAATCCCTTATAAGATAAATGATTTACAAATATTTTCTCCCATTCCATGGGTTGTAAACTCATTTTAAATCAATTAAAAAATAACTTGCAAGTCTAAAAGGCCTTGGATAAGACCTAATGTGGGTTTCTTATGCAGTTCATGACTCTTTTTCATGATGTTCATGCCAAGCTCCGCCCCCCCAGAATGGGGCAGAATGTATCAGCACTGGACAGTAGGGGTGACTATCTGACTTATGTCAGAATCTCAAAGACAGAAACAATTCTTGGTTTTTGTAAATCAGAGTTAGAAAAGTCCAGAGGAAACCACCTCCATGCCCCAAACAATAGTCTTTTTTGCCAGTTGAATAGATTGAGGAGATGGATATCTGGTCCTTCTCTCCATTAATTATCCTGGATTCAGGTGGAAAAAGAATCCTGAGACACAGAGGACATTAGTGCCATCCCTCTTTGTCTTATGTATTGAGCGAACTTTATGCCCTACATTACATTTTAAAGAGAATGAATGGGACAAAGAAGTAATATCTACAGATGAGAAATCATTAAACTCACTTCCAAGGGTTCACATTACTTCAGAGAAGTGTTAAGTTACCACATACAGATTTTATATTAAGGAGCTCATTCTGATTGATTAACAAGTATGAGTGGAGAAAAGGTCAAAAAACAAGCTTCAGTGACCATTGAAACAGTTACATTAATTTCCCTTGCCAACAAATGTTTGAAAAAAAAATAAGACTCAGCAATTATTGAACTAGCTGAGCCCTTCAGGCAAGAGGAAATAAGCAATAAATTATCAACCTCAACCATGAGATGGTGGCAACAACAGATTGAATTAACTGATACACAGTGTTTTTGCTGATTTTTATATTCATGTCATTTTATGTTTCTCAATAAAGGCAGTTTATAAGATTGATGTGACTGGCTTGTGGGGGTAGGGGAAAAAGCCTTCCATCCAAGGGCAGTCGCAAGAGGTGAAGAAAGAAAACTGCATGATTCCCCAGGCTCTGGGAAATCTCAGCAGGGGAGAGATAGGAGCCCCTGGGGCAGTTCTGAGGTACAGCCCAGCCTACCTGCACCCCACAGCACCTGGCTTCCAGAATGTGTCAGCACAGAATGCATTCACCAAAAGGAGAAACCTTGAGTCTTGACTGTGTTGAATGGGGCATTCAGTGTGGGTGGGAGCAGGACATACTTGGCCTGAAATTTTAGGGACAAACCTTAAGGGTGAGTGGGAAATAAGTTATTTATCAGGGGTAACACCAGGCTAACCCTCGGGGCTCCCCTCATCCCTCAACCCACCTGTCCCCCCTCCGGCTTGATACTCACCCCCATCAGTTGGCTACAGTTCCTGGACCTCCTTCCAGGCCTTTGGAACAATAGCCAACCAGGTGCTTTCTCCACCCTTGAATCCCAAGGCCTCCACCCCCTGTGTCCCTCACCAAGCCCTGCTTTCCCAGGCAGGGAAGCTGAGGTTCTTCGGGGAGGTTCCACCCCCCCCACCCCCCCACCCCCGCCTCCTCTCTGACAGCGGAGCCAGCAGCAGTGGAGTGCACAGGCACTGCCTCTTCTATCAGGGACAGCCCAAGTGAAACAGGCTCAGAGGTGAGAGCCAGGCCCTGCTCTTCTCTCTCGTGAAGGCCTGGGGAGGGGGGGAACCCCAGCCTCAGGAGTTTATAGACTCTGTGCATTAATTTGCTGGGGCTGCCTTAACAAAGTACCACAGACTGAGTGGCTTCAGCAGCAGAGATTTATGTCCTCACGGTTCCGGAGGCTGGAAGTCCGAGATCAAGCGGTCAGCGCAGCTGGGTTCTCCTGAGGCCTCTCTCCTAGGCCTGCAGACGGCTGCCTTTTCCAGGAGCGCCGACATGGCCTTCCTGCTATGTGCCTGTGTCCTACTGTCCTTCTCAGGACACTAGTCGCATTAGATCAGGGCCCGTCCTAATGACCTCATTTTAACTTAATTATCTATCTCTCTCTTTTTTAAGATTTTATTTATTTACTCATGAGAGACACAGAGCGAGAGAGAGAGAGAAGCAGAGACATAGGCAGAGGGAGAAGCAGGCTCCCTGCAGAGAGCCTGATGTGGGACTCGATTCCCAGGACCCCGGGATCACTCCCTGAGTCAAAGGCAGACCCTTAACCGCTGAGCCACCCAGGCATCCCTTAATTATCTCTTTAGAGGCCTTATCTCCAAGTACAGTCACATTCAAAGGTGCTGGGGGTTAAGGCTTCACCACAGGAATTTGGGAGGAACACGGTTCAGCCTATAATAGGGCCCTTCCCACAAAGTTAGCTCCTTTCCGTGGCCCCAGGACTCCTCTCTCTATGACCCAGCTGCTGAGTTGCCATAAAACGCAGTGCCTCCGACTGGCCCTCCCTGGGAGGAGCACACAGCTGCCACCCCCATCTCACACAGGGACATTTGCATCTGGGGCGGGGGTACCATTCACACACGTGCCCTCGACTGCTTGGCAGGAATCCTGGTTTGGGGGATACAGGTGGGACTCTGACACCCCACCCCCCTTCCAGGACTTTTTTTCTGCTTCTCAGACCCCCAGTTCCGCTCCAGCAGCCCAGCCTTTCCTCCTCTCAAACCCCAGGGCTGTTGCTCATGCTTCCTGCTTGGAGAGATCTGAGAAGCCGAGATGCTCAATGACTGATTTGTTTGTTCATTGCACAAATGTGCTTTGGACACTGGCTCTGTGCCAGACACTAGCTAAGGGTTGGCAGTAAGACAGTAGGATCCCCAGAATCCTGCGGCCAGCCAGCTCACAGCTGGGGCAGATGCAAGAGCTTGGGGCCATTTCCAAGTTCCTGTTGTGTCCCCATGCTCCTCATCCAGCAGCTCTAAACTTTTGATGGACCCAGAGAATTAGGCAAACGTGCCCCAACACTATCGAGGAGGAAAACGAGGCCCTCAAGTGTTATCAAGCAAAAAGTATAGATAAGGAACCAGCTCTGTCTGCCCTAAAGCCTAGGGAAGGGAAGGCCTCTGCTAGAAGACTCTGCCTGGACTGAGTGTCCCTTTTCTCCCCTCCCCCCTAACCCCCCACCCCCCACCCCCGTCCTGTCTCCTAGAGTGATGGCTGGCTTCCTGTACTCATCCCCCAAGTCTGACAAGTGGGCTAACTAGCACAGGTGCAGATTCCATTCCATGTGGCGTGCCACGTGTACCCTCCTGCAAGCAGGCACCAAGGGAGGCCCTACACTAAGACCCCCACAAGCCCCCCACATCATAGCCTCCCCTGACCTATGGAATCAAGGACCCAGTTCTGAAGCAGCGGGGTGTTGGGGTTGGGGTCAGAGTGCAAGACACTTCCAGAACAGAGCCGCTACCTCTTAAACTCTGCTCTTCCACCTTCTGCCTGAGAAGGGCCCCCGAGGCAGGGGGCAGGCCTGAGCTGCTGTTTGTATGGGTGGAGCCTGTCGCAACACTGTTTACCCACCTTTGCCAGGGCCCAAAGCCCCTCGGGGTATGCGGTACATCAGAGTCAGCCCTGAGCAGAGGGAGGTCACTGTGCTCCCGTGCTGTGTGCTCCGGGCCCTCGCTCCACCTCGTCCCTGCAGCCCGCTGCCCAGTGCTCTGTCCCCGAGGAAGCCACAGTCAGCCAAGGCCACCGACCCACCCCTGGAGCCATGGTAGGCTAACGCCGCACAGCCCGCCAGCCCGGCAGGCTGCGTCCAGGTTGCGCCCATGAACCAGGCAGGGGAGGACAAAATCAAGTCAGGTCTGGGGCTGCGGGGGGAGGCCACGGGGACCCTCCTGAATTGGACTTTAGGCTTTAGGAGTGGCACTGGGGTGTTGGGGAAAGCTTGGGAGGTGAAAGCCCGGGTTGGACTCCGGTGTCTTCACTTGATTGCTGTGTGTGCTTGGGGAAGTTACTTCACCTCTCTGAGCTTTGGTTTCTGCTCCTGAAAATGGCAATAATATTAACTCTTTCGCGGCATTATTATAAGGTCTAAATAAGGTGTGATATATAGAGGATCTCAGTACAGTGCTCGATACACAGGCTTATCCCTGGGGCTCCCTGCTTCGGCTTCGAGGCCGGGAAGGCTGCCGTGGAGTCTCCCAGACCTGGCCCTCCCTGGCAGGAGAAGCCTGGTGGGAGAGGTGAGAGCCAGCTCCAAGGCCTTCTCGGGCCACCAGGCCAGCTCATGCCACCCCTTCCCCAGTCACCCCCCAAGAGGTGCCCCAGACAGAGCAGGGGCCAGGCGCCCTGAGGCCTGCCCTCTCGGCCTCCGCCCCTGACCCCATCCCTCCTACTAAGAACAGACACACGGTTTCCCGTGCCATCCGCCCCCGTGGCCGCGAGGGGTCCAGGGAGACAAGCCCTGCACGTAGCTGCTCAGCTTCAGAGCTGCCGACGTGTTCCACCTCCCCCCGGGCCCTGAGCGGTGACCGTGACCGGGGCGGAGCAGCCTGGCTCAGCGCCCTGGCCGCAGCCTCCCATCCCACGGCGGCCTCAGCCCTGGCCACCCAGCTCTTCGCCCCTCGCAGGTCCACGGGTACAAAGGAGTCAAGTTCCAGAACTGGGCCAGGACCTATGGCTGCTGCCCAGAAATGTACTTCCAGCCCACGTCCGTGGAGGAGGTCAGAGAGGTGAGTGTCCCTCCAGGGCAGGGAGCGGGGACTTGCTGGGCTAGGAACCCCCCCACCCCCCAAAACGCACCCCCTTCCCAGGATCGCTGGCCAGGGGAGAGCCCCACGAAGGGGGCTGTGTTCCGGGCTCCTGGCCCCCACCTCCCCTGCTGCAGCTCCGGGTTACGGCCCACTGTGCCACCAATGACCGCCAGCCTTTCACCTGCAGCTCAGGCCTCTGCTAGGGGCGCAGAGCTGCCGGCGACTGCCTCCTTGGGGGTCTCGGGGCATCACAGACTGACACGCCCCGAACTCCATTCCCAGTGTTCCGGGGCTCTTTGGTTTCTGACTTCAACGTCTTTCTATCCCTGTCTCTGCATCGGGTACCTGGTCACTCAAACTGGAAGCCAGGAAGTGGTCGCTGTCTTTTCTCTACCCCCTTTTAAAAAAAAAGATTTTATTTATTTATTCATGAGACACAGAGGGAGAGAGAGAGGCAGAGACAGAGGCAGAGGGAGAAGCAGGCTCCATGCGGGGAGCCCGATGCGGGACTCAATCCCAGGACCCTGGGATCACACCCTAAGCCAAAGGCAGACGTTCAACCTCTGAGCCACCCAGGTGTCCCTCTTTTCTTTACTCTTATCTAACATCAGCAAGCCTGGCCCCAGAAGTTTCCAGAATCCATCTCTTTCTCTTCAGCACGGTTGCCACTTTCCATGCCCAGTCCATCCCTTCCTCGCCCACCATGACCTGCGGTGGCCTTGTCCTGGGTCTCCCTGCTTCAATTTTTACTTCCTTGGAATAAAATTTCCTCAGCAGTAAAAGTAGTCATCTTAAAATATAAGTTGGGTTGGGCTACTCTCCTGCTTAAAGCCCTTCAGAGGCTCCCTATTGTTTGTGGAATAAAACCCTGGCTTGACTCCCAACGCCATGTATCACCTGGCCTTGGTTCACCCTTGGTGCATTAGGCAAATCAAACCTTTTCCTACCTCAGGGCCTTTGGACTTGCTATTCCCACCACCAGGAATGCCTGTGCCTTCACTTTTCACAGGGCTAACTCCTTGTCATCCTTCGAGTCTCAGGGTAAAGATGAGCTCCTCAGTGGATTCCCAGACCACCTCATCTGCAGTATGGCCCAGTGTTCTCTGTCTCCGCTCCTTGTTTGTTTCCTTATTGCAAATTTATAATCACTTGCAATTATTCTGTTTCACAGTTGAGTAAACTGAGGCTAATAGAGGCTTTGTAATCTCCCACATTAATAAGGATCAGAGCCAGGATTCACACAGGGATTGTCTGATTCAAAGCTGGGCCCAGGAGAATAAGAGCTCCACTTATGGGGAACGGCACTGACAACAAGGGGGAAGTGAGGAGCATGCCTGGGGAGTCAGCAGAGGGGTCAGGGGTGGGTACAGACATGCCTGGAGGGGATGAGTGGGCCGAGGGCAGAAGAGGAAGGTTGGGAGGGTGGGATCAGAGGGCCTTGAATGCCGAGGTAACTGGCTTCCTTCTGAGCTGAGGGAAAAGCTGTAGGTATGCCATAGGGCCGTATGTCAAGGCCGTTCCTAAGCTGTGTTGACCTACACAACTGAATTCCTAGCAGGCTGAGGCCACCGCAGGCTGACATTTCCCTGGAGGGCTAGCAGGGTCCTAAATCTAGGTTGTGTGGTCAAGGGGGCTCATACAAGATGGTGTTAAACAGACTTCGTTGTTGTAGAGCCTATAGTGTGGAACGTGCCACAGGCACGGTGGGTGGATAAAGGAGCTAGTGAAGACGAGCCCTTCCCCATCTCACTTCCTCATCGAGCCCCTTGTGGTACCTATTGTACGACGAGTGTTCCGTGGACCAGATGTGAGGTTTTTGAGCAGGGACATGCAGGTGAAAGGGAATCCGTTCATTTAAGTGAGACCATGTGTTTATGTATTCATTCAGTGATCACTAGAGACTCATGGGGCTGGGGCTGGGGTAGACACAGGTACCAAGTCAAATTAAGCCACTGTCACCCCCAGGAGCCTCATTCCAGCTTGGGAGGCAGCTGAGCCCGGGTAGGCCAAGAGGAGGAATTGGGACCTTATTCTGAAGGCACTGGGGTGCCCTTGAAAGGTTTCATGTTGGGGAAGAGAATTTTCAGATATGCCCATAGAAGAGCCTTCAGCTGAGGTGGGGAGAGCGCACAGGAACCCCCTATCCATCCAGGATGATCCTTGGTTCTCCATCCCGTTCACCTCCCGGCCCTGCACTCCAGCTCTCTTTCCCAGAGTGGACTGCACAGCAGCCTCCAGCCAGCTGGGGGCCTTGGAGGCCTGGTGGGCGGTGGGGGGCGGGGGGCAAAGCCTAGGCGGCCCACCCCCCTGCAGGCCCTGCAAGGTCTCCAGCCACCTCACCAAGACACCCCCGAGCTGGGCCTGACGCTGGCTTTACCTTGGCAGGTGCTGGCCCTGGCCAGGCAACAGAACAAGCGGGTGAAGGTGGTGGGCGGTGGCCACTCACCCTCGGACATCGCCTGCACGGATGGCTTCATGATCCACATGGGCAAGATGAACCGGGTTCTCCAGGTACTCAGAGCCTTGGCTCCCCCCACCTCTGCTGTTCTTGAGCCCAGCAGCCTCAGCCTCCATCCCAGACCCCAGGGGCCTTAGTCTTGACCCTCAGGCCTGATCCCCTCCCTGTCCCTGAGTCCAAAGTGACAGCCCCCAACCCCACCCCCACCCTGTTTCTGACCCACTCATGATCACCCCTTCACAGAGCCCTGGGCCTGCCCACGCTTCTTGGCAGGTGTGTGCACCTCCTTGTGGCCACTGAGAGGATGGGCCTCCTCCTCTCTACTCCCGAACAAGAATGGCAGGTCAGCCCCCCAAAGATGGACTCACAATCACAAATCCAGGAGGACTTACACTTCACTGGTTTTACATACGGGGGGACAGGATCAGAGAGGATGAGTGCCTTGCCTAGGGTTACACGGCCGATCAGTAGCAGAGCTGGGCACCATCGCAGGAATCTGACCCCAGCCCTGTCCATGCAATTCAGCCCATGCTCCGTGAGTGCCCCCCGCAGGCACCTGCCAGGGAGCAGAGGCCAGACAGGTGCCCGCACGTTAGGAAGACTCCTCACCCGACAGGGCCTTTGAGCTCTAGTTTTGCCAAATAACCTCCTGTCCACCCAGCCCTGCTAGCAGAGGTTCTGGGGTTCTTCTCTCTATTATTTCCTTCTTTGCTCAGGCTGACAGTCTCCATTGTGTTGAAAATGCTCTGGTCAAGATATCAAGTCACAGCAGTAATGAGCTCTGATTGCTAATTAGTGAGGATTGGGCTCCAACAGTCTCCTTCCTGTGAAAGGAGACAATCTGCTCCTACCTCCCTGCGCTGCGGGGGATCTTCTAGTGCCTCTTCTCACACAGGGCAGGAACCTCCTGTCCTCTTCTGGTCCTCAGTCTTTGCCTCAGACCTCCCCGGGGGAGAGTAGGTGGGGAATCTGGACTCCCATCTAGCAAAATCAAGCCCCTATAGGATTAGATCCTTGTCAGTTGGTGACTTTGTGCGCCTCTTGGAATCCCACCTTCCTGGTCTAGGCAGGGTGGGGTTTGGGGAGAGTGCAGTTGGGGCGCTCTGGGTGAACCCCTTCTCTTCCCTGCTCCTCATCTCCCTCTCTTGTGAGAAGAAGGGGTTACAGAGAATACCCTAGCCCCTCCCCTTATCTGTGGTTTTGCTCTGGGGGTCAACCACCATCAGAAAGCAAATGATCCTCCTTCTGACATTATCAGAAGGTCAACAGCCTAATCCTATGTCACAACTCCTAAGTCCTTCACCTCACCTCATCTCATCACGTAGGCATTTTATCATCTCACATCCTTATGAGACAAAAGAGGCTGAGCACAGTACAGTAAGAAATCTTAAGAGAGAGTTCATGTAACTTTTGTGACAGTCTATTGGGGTTTTTTTTGTTTTTTTTTTCCTAAAGATTTTATGTATTTATTCATGAAAGACACAGAGAGAGAGGCAGAGACACAGGCAGAGGGAGAAGCAGTCCCCATGCAGGGAGCCCGATGCAGGACTCAATCTCGGGACTCCAGGATTGTGCCCTGAGCCGAAGGCAGGTGCTAAACCGCTGAGCCACCCAGGGATCCCCTGTGACAGTATATTGTTATAATTGTTCTAGTTTATTTTTAATTAGGGTTGTTACTTTCTGTGCACAATATCTAAACTTTATCATAGGTATGTGTATACAGAAAAAAACCATAGTATATATAAATTTCAGTGTTATCTGTGGTTTCAGGCATTCACTGGGGTGGTCTTGGAATGTATCCCCTGTAGATAAGGGGGGACGGCTGTATTCCCAGAACTCCAGCAAATCCAGGGCCTGCCCACACTCTCTTCAGCTACCTGCAGCAAGTGGTGGCTTGAGCCGATCACAGGCTGGGACAGACAGGTTCATATTCGTGGCAGTATGACTGTTGGGTGGGGACTGGGTTATAGCCTCCCCACCACCACCACCTGTGTTGGTCTCTTGCAGGTGGACACAGAGAAGAAGCAGGTGACTGTGGAGGCCGGCATCCTCCTGGCTGACCTGCACCCACAGCTGGGCAAGCACAGCCTGGCCTTGTCCAAGTAAGAACCACCTCCCCCTTTCCTGGGGGGCTAACACTGCTCACTACCCTCCCCTGGCCGCGGCTGGACACTCAAGGATCTGATGGGAGACAGAGAAATGCTTCCCAGGGTGCACCCCCTCCCTTTCTCTGGACCCCTGTTCTTTCCCCATGGAGTACTTGTCTCCCTGTCCCCCATGAGTTCAGGGACTATTGTGTGATAATAGAAAGAAATAGGCCAGAGATGGGTCAAGTATTAGTACCAGTCTTGTAAAGGGGCAGGAAAACAATGGTTAAATTTTTCTTAAAACTTGCAATGAACAACTGCACAGACCCAGACAGAAGGGTCTGCAGAATAAGCACGGTGGAACGGAAGAGCATGCTGATTGAGCTGCAGGACTTGCTGGTATTCCTATCTCTGTCTGTATTCATCTCTCTATCCAAACGTGGTGTCAGGGACTGCTCAGTTTAATATCAGAGGATTTCCATTGAAACAGGTGTCAAATACAGCCAAAGGATTGAATGTCTAACTGTAGAATATCAACCATTGGAAAAAGATGTGACAGGTGTTTTGGATATTGGACTTGGATATCTCTTTGCAGCTGGAAGCTGCACCCATGGAAGCCTGTGGTTTGTTTTCAAGTGTGGGGGGTCCATTTGCCTTACCTCTCTTATCACAGGCCCTGGGGCAGTGCTACACATTTTCACTCTGGAAACCTATCCTATCCTGTTCCTGCTTCTCCAAAGATCATGGCAACTCCCACATTTGTGAGGAGACTACCATGTGTAGGCCCTCGAGAGGCAGGGATGAATAAAACCCCAAGGAGCACGTTGCAAGGAGCAGACTAACACACAAAATGATAAGCATAATAAAGGACCCTAGGTTCAATGTCAGAGAAGGGTTCAGGACCCTTTAGGGCTCTCAGGGGGCCCCAGGTTCAGCCCTGGCAGACAGGGGGATGAGTGCAAGGGATGAGAATCAGGGAGCCTGCAGGAGGGGCCCCTGGATTGAGTCCTAAATATGACCAGGCATAAACCAGAGAAAAAGAGGAGAGAAGGGATTCAGGCAGAGGGAACAGCATGAGCGAAAGGCCAGGAGGGGGAGAGCGTGCCGGGCATACAGGGGCCTGTGAGCAGATAGTGGGACAGAACCTGTGGCCAATGATGACAGGAAGAGACATGTCCTATTGACTACGGGCATCAGCTTCTGGACTCTGAAGCATCTCTGTGCCCTGTTCATGGTGCGTCTCTGTCCCCACCCTGGGGACCCAGTCCTCAAGTGACTGTCTGCATGGGGCCCTTCTGCCACTCAAAGGGAGTTAGGGTGTCCTATCCTTTGTATCGGTGGGGGGAGCCTGGGTGGACAGCTCTGAGGATGCTGTGGGCACTCCAGGGGTACCTGCGGCTGGGGGGCTGAAGGGGCAAGACCAGAGCTGAGGCAGGCCGCATGCTGGGTGCTTGACAGATGAGGGATATAAGCCTGTTTACAGATGAGGAAACCAGGGTCTGAGGCAAAGTGGCTTACCAAGGCCACACAGCTGGAAACTTCTGGAACACTCCACCACATGGTGAACCAGCGGAGGCCAGACAGCAGCATGGTGTAGACCCCAGCTCCAGAGGCAGATGGCCGAGGAGCAAATCTTGCTGCTTCTACCTCATTCCCACTGTTCGTCCAGTTCCTTGGCCCGTCTGGGCCTCAAGCCTAGAAAACGGGTCTGAGAGCAGGGGGCTCGGAGGACTGGACGAGCTAAAGCTGCCCCACATGACTGCTCAGTCAGCGTCCGCTCGTGCTTACCTTCTGGCTCCGCCGGCGCCTCGCCTCACAGGTTCCAGAGGTGACCTTTCCCCTGGGCGGGCTGTCTCCAGCCTCCCAGGGCCCAGTCTAATCCTCCCTTCCTTGACCCTTCTCCCCCAGGGCCTCGCTTTAATCCAGTTTATTCCTTTTCACGAGGTGGTGGCAAGCCTGCTTCCTGTAGTAGCCTGCTAAAGTTCGTGGAGACGAGGAGACACCCTGCAATCCCATTAACCACCCCCTCTGCGGGCACTGAGCTCCTTCTCAGGCTTCCACTATTTCTACGTCATGCCGTGATGAACATCTCCATGCTGTACCCCTTTCCACATGCTGGAGGATTTCCCTAGGGCAGGATTCCATGATCCTCTTAACATTCTGGTATTTTCGGGGCACCTGGGTGGCTCAGTCGGTTAGGTGTCTGCCTTCAGCTCAGGGCATGATGCCAGGGTCCTGGGATTGAGCCCCGCGTTGTTGGGCTCCAAGCTCAGTGGGGAGTCTGCTTCTCCCTCCACCGCTCCCCTAACTCGTGCTCTCTCTCTCTCTCCCTTTCTCTCAAATAAATAAATAAAGTCTTTATTTTTCAAAAAAAAAAAATCCTGGTATTTTCCCAAGTAACCCAGTGAATGTGGACAAAGAGACAAGACTAGACACAAAAGTGGTAGTGGGGGCGAGTAAGGGGAGGCTGGAGGGGCTTGGGTTTTTTCATCCTCTTCCTATTTTGCCAGGACAGCCTCCGGGTCTCACCACCTCCCTAGGAAGGTCTGAGGCTAGACTTTGTTTCTTTCTTTGTTTTTTTTTTTTTTTAAGACTTTATTTATTCATGAGAGACACAGAGAGAAGCAGAGACATAGGCAGAGGGAGAAGCAGGCTCCATGTGGGGAGCCCGACGCAAGACTCTATCCCCAAACCCTGGGATCACGACCTGAGCCAAGGGCAGATGCTCAGCCACCGAGCCACCCAGGGCCCCGAAGCTAGACTTTCTCATCACTGTCTTAACCACAGGGTTCCTGCAGCGACTTTGGGAGCCAGGCCCTGCCTGCCGCAGGGGTCCTTGCTCTGTGCTGGGAGCCAGGGGGTGCGAGGTGGTGGGCACACCGCCTCACCTGCTGAGCCCACCTCTCACGTGGACTGAACTATTGTGAAGATATTGGGCAGCACATAATGCTCCCACCCCTTGGCATTGGGGAGGCCTTGAGTAAACATCCATTTCCTTTTCCTTTAAGCCAGGGCTGAGATGTCTCAGAGGATGATCCTAAGAAGTAAGACTTCTGAACACCCTCTCCCTTGACCCTGTGATCCGGGCACACGTCTCTAACTCCTGCCCCAGAGCACAAGTCTCCAAGGCTCCCCTTCAGGACCCTGGTCCTCCTGTGCACACGCAGTGCTGTTAGCATTCCTCCCAGGGCCCAGGACTCTGGGCTGAGAGATGTGGGCTTATCCTGGGGGCCCTGAGGAGCCCCTGACCGTTTCTGAGCATGGGGATGACACAGCCGCCTCCCCCTTTGCTGACGGCTCAGGGAAACTCCAGCCTTCTCGTACCTTCCTGGGACAGCTGTGTGAGCCATTTGAACCAGGTCACTCCCTCAGGGACTTTGTGGGCCTTGACAGGCTGCGTTGAGAGAGGTGTTAGCAGGAGCATTTGGGCGTTTGGTTGGTGGAGAAGGCATTGTTGGTGGGTGGAGGCAAAGGAAAGGCATGTTCTATGCTGCAGAAACCCCAAAGTCAGCAGGCAGCCCCCCTCAGACTCGAACCATGCCCCCTACCTGCTTACCGACAGGCCACTGAGATGGGGAGGCTGAGGCTCAGAGAAGGGAAGGGCCACCAAGTCAGACAAGCTAAGTCGTGGTGCATTCAGGGCCAGAACCTGGGCAAGAGATGAATCTACTATTCTGCTCCGAGGGGCTCCGTACTGCAACTGCAGGGGTGCGGGGTACGGTCCAGGGAAGCCTAACGGGTCCCTGTGTTCCTCTCCCTCCCTCCTGTTGAGCCCAGCCTGGGAGCTGTGTCAGATGTGACTGCGGGGGGCGTCATCGGGTCCGGAACCCATAACACAGGGATCAAACACGGCATCCTGGCCACCCAGGTGAGTTTCGGCACCCCCTTCGCCGCTCCACTGACTGGCCGGGGTGGGGGGGTTGGGATGGACACCTCTTCGCGGAAGCTCCTGGGAAATCAGGGGCTCCGTGGGCAGTGTCAGCTCAGCTCCACACAGGCCTCAAAGCCACTCCAGGGCCCTCTCCGACAGACACTTGGCAGGTGCCCTCCCGACACGCTATCTCCACTAAACCTCATTCATCTCCAACAGACACAAGTGAGAAGGAGCCATCGTGCATGTTGAGGCATCCCTGCCTCCCAGGAGCCTCCTGGCCACCCTGTGGAAAAGGGCAAGCAGGCCAAGAGGTTCCATCCCCATTAAAAGTTCTGAGCCAGGAGCCGGACAGTGCAGGAGGTCTTTCTGGGTTAGCAAGTAGGGGAGGAGCCAGCACAGGAGCTGGGGCCTGGGAGGGCGTCCATCTGCACCTGACCATAACACTGAAAAGCATTTCTTAAACTTTATGAGAGTCCGTTTTGGGGAACTGGTTATGAACACAGATTCTGGACTCAGATCTGGGTTCAAGACCTGGCATGTACGAGGCATGCACCAGTAGGCAGGCTATTTAGATCCTCAGGACCTCCCTGTTTTCATCTGTAACTTGGAGAGAATAATCCTCAACCCAGGAGGAGTAAATGAGATCATAAATGTTAAATACGTGGCCGAGCCAAGGACAGTTCGTGATCTCTGTGTCAGGAGCCGTCCTTCAGAGGGCACACCTCTTTTTACCTTTCAGTATCTGGAGGGGCTTCCTAACAGGCCTGGCTGTGCTGCATGAAGCGGGGTGCTGGCCTGCACATGGGGAGGCTGGCCGCTCGGCGTCAGGGACGGAAGAGATCCCTGTGCGTGGGGGGCACTGCACAGCTCACCTCGTGTCCTCACCTGCAGGGGCTCATCTGTACTCTGGGCCGTGTGGCCTCTGGCCACTGGAGCTAAGCACTGGGGCTTGCGTTTTGCATCCCGGCTCTAGCAGTATTGTCTGTGTGACCTGGGCCAAGTCTCTACCTCTGGCTACCTCAGTTTGCTCACCTGGAAAATGGGGATGGTCAGAATAGCAATGCATCTGGGGTGTTAGAAGAGCGGACACAGTTAGTGCTCAATAAACATTCGTGATGGGTTTTGCATGTAAGACAGGAGCTTGCAGCCTGTGCTGTAAAAGAAATTTCAGGATTGCTGGGGATGGGATCACACAGATCACTTGAGTGTCCCCCAGTCTACCCAGATGTATGGCTGTCTCCTGAGGTGGACAGACACCCCAGCAAGCATTGTCTGAATGTGACTTCTGGGCACTGGGTCCCCTGTGCTCCAGTCTCAGAGCAGCTCTGAGATCAAAAGAAAATGGCCCAAAAGCAATTTCTAAGGGACTTTTTTTTTTTGTATTTGTTTTCTCGACCACCAAGAGGGAAACCTAATTCCCCTTGTCCTTAAAACTTCACTTTGATTTCTCATCAGCATGGTGCACGGCCTCTGGTTTCTCTTGTTCTTCTCCCCTCCCTCTTTCTATCGCAAAACCCCACAGAAGTCTCAGGCAGGCGAGGGGCAACCCGAGGGCAGGGAGTGATCCAGGAAAGGGGATACCAAAAAAAAAAAAAAGAAAAGAAAAGAAAAGAAAGGGGATACCATCCTAGGGCATCCACGCTAATCATGCTCAACCGCTTCCACAGGTAAGAACTGGTTGCACAGCATGCTGGGTTTTGTGGGACCCGGTTCCCAACTACTCAGAGCCCTTTGTGGACGCTCCATGACCCCCTCAAAGCTGGGTTCACTGCCCAAGAGAGCCCAGTGATAACTGGGAGTGACGGGTAGCACAACAGCCTCCCCCCAAGATTAGGCCACAGTCCTGAGAGACTTTCCAGGGCTGACGGGTGTTTCTAAAAAATGTTCAGCAGAGTGCGGAATAATTCTGAGTGGCCACAAATCAAACTGTGCATGAGATTTACTGACCTCTTTTCTTAGGAAGTTCAGCTGAGCCCCTGGAAAGGAGTGGGAAAGCCCCACTGTTTTATTTTAGATATTATGCCAATGGCAGGGAGCGAGGAGGGGGCAGTTGACATCTTCGGTGTCCACTGTACACCAGACACTTAGCTGGATACTTCACACACTGTCTCTGAGATAGTTATTGTCCTCGTTTGACAGATGGGGAAACAGAGAGGTTGGATAGCATGCCCAAGGTCACACAGCTAGTAAAGCAGTGCCTACCTTTATTTGTTGCTGGATCCTGCTGAGGGATTTCACCGGCCAATTCTCACTCACAGCCCTGGATCTTAGACAAAATCTGGTTTTTAATAAAAATCATTCCGATGTCCTCACTCCTACAGATGGCCGTCGTGCCCCATTTCTGCCAATTTCTCCCGTCTGGTCTTGGTCACTGTTAATCAGAATTAGTTCAGCTTTCTCTGTTCTCTCACCCCGAGCACCCAGCCTCCAACTACACATGTCAAAGCAATTTCTATCCGAATTAGCAGGTAGTGGAGTGCGGAGAAGTACTTAAACAGGCGATAAAAGAGGATTCCTCTGGAAATGGGGGCCAAGGGTAAGAGACTAGAGTTAATCGTCTGTTTCCAGCTGAGTGTCCCACTTCTTACAGAAATCCAGGTTTCTAATTAGGTGTGGCCAAGCAGGAGAATCTAGTTCCTGAGACAAGTGGGTCTCTGAAAGAAAGCATGGACTTAGCTTGCTCCCAAGAGGAGCAGCCAGCAGGGAGAGGCTGCAGGGGACCCTGGCCCCTGGGCTGTGCTGGGACGGTGGGGACAGCCCTAGCTCAGATGGACGCACATCTTCCCTTCACCTTCGAAAGATAACTTTAAGCAACACCCACAGCTCTTTGGAGCCCTGTCTCATCTTCAGTGTCCTCTGGGCAGAGGGGAGCCTCGCTGCATCCTGACAGTGAAGTCCACAAATGAGCAAGGTAGTGGTGGGAGGACTAGCCTCTGGGATCCCATGGACTGCTTGTAAGGGATGGCCCCCTCACTGCTGAGGGCTGATGCTGCCCAGATGGAACCTTCCTTTCCCTGTTGCCCTGTGGCCAGGGCATAGGTGCTACCTTGCCTCACTTCCAAAGACAAACAGGGCAGGGAGGGCCTCACCTGGAGTCTACAGGACATGCCCACCAGGGTTCTGAAGTGTGACTCTTCTCCCACTACTAGGTGGTGGCGCTGACCCTGCTGACAGCTGATGGGACCATTCTTGAGTGCTCTGAGTCTAGCAACGCAGATGTGTTCCAGGCCGCGCGGGTGCACCTGGGCTGCCTTGGAGTGGTCCTCACCGTCACCCTGCAGTGTGTGCCCCAGTTCCACCTGCAGGAGATCTCCTTCCCCTCGACCCTGGAAGAGGTACTGGTTTCTTGCTCACCACCACTCAACTTCAGAAGATAAATGCAGGATAGTGACAAGTAGACCATGCTCTACTGATGGCCCCCGGTGGCTCTTCAGGCTCCCCGAATAGGGGAATGGGCTGACCTCTCTAGCACTTCCTTCCTTGGCCCAAGGATACTGTGGTCAGGTCCCTTTCTGAGCAGGGCAGTGAAGCTCAGAGGAACTGCAAGGGGTTGGCAGAGGTATGGGCAAAGAGGGAGGGTAGTAGGTAGAGACTTGTCTGGGGAGATATGGTGCTGGCACGAGCTGACTGCTCCTGGGAAGGCATTAACTCTCAACTGCACTGAGCCATAGAATGTGCCCAGAATTCCCTTTATAATGACTTCTTCACAGCCAAGTGGGTAGGCTAACTCAGTCTGGCTGGCTGCCCAAGGTCTCATGCAAGAGATGTGGACCTAGATGATGGAGGGCAGAAAGGATGACTTCTGATTGGTAGCAATGTTTTGGGAATGAATGAAAAGCATGTTGGTTGGCTGGCTGGTTGAATGGATGAGTGGGTAGATGGATGGATGCACAGATAGATGCATGGGCGGATGGATAATCAGATGCACAGATGGATGCATGGATGGATGGGTAACATGCAGCCGTCCTGAAATGCCTGGTAGGCAGGATTTATGCCTGGTAATCACTAAGCTATGGGACTAAAATCTACGGTTCCAAGTTCCTTGGTCTTTGAGTTCCTCCGTGGTCACCTTATCCTTCAACATGAGTAGACCCTCTGCACAGTTAGAATAGTCAGTGATATAAACACTACTGACCCAACATGGTTAAGGTGGGGTTGGTGATCAGATTGGCCTGGCCTTCTCTACCACTTCTAAGCTGTGACCTTGAGCCCATCGTTTGACCCTGTTAATTAAACCCTAGTTTTCTCATCCAAAAAGAGAGTTAATAATATCTACCTTAAGGATTGAATCTGAGGATTAAATCAGATAAATTAAACATATCAATTGTCTAGTTCAGTATTAAAATTTGCCCCCAGTGGCACCTAGTCAGTGATAAAAGGAAAGTATTGTTATTTAGAACCAGGTCTAAATTCCTTAGAGTTTCTAATGCAATGAAGTCACAAGGCAAAGGCCTTGAATCCAGAGGGCCCCCTACTCAGAGCATGGTGTTGGGTAGAAATTTATCCCCAGAACTCCCAGTTGGTGGCAAGAAAGTGATTCCACACAGCTCTGGGGGATATAGCATGGATTCCTGGAGCACAAAAACTGAGCTTGATGGGTCGATAATTGGGAAGTGAACTGCCTGATGCCTTGGCCCAGGAAAGTAGGATGAGTTTGGGACAATGACATTTCGTGGAATTGTTTGGCAGGGAAAAGGTGTGGCTAAGGAGTCCCATAAGGCTCTGGCCAGAGTCCCACATGACTCTGCTTAGAACCAGCCCAGACTCTGAGATCTTTGGGACCACCTAGGCCTGCCTCAACCAGCTACAACCTTCCAGACCAGTGCTAGAGGGAGGATCTAGATGCTTTGTTCACTCCTAGTAGGGTTCAGAAAGCATCCTACATTCTGTCCATCATCAGGCATGTTGATTTTGAGGCCTGCTTTGGGGTCAGCATTTGAGACTTATACAACTCTAGGGCTAACTCCTAAGGCCATCGAATAACATTCTGAGCATCCACTGCAAAGATTGATTTTTTTTTTCTGTAGCCGTCATGCCTCTAGTATTCTCAGACTTATCCTTCTGTACTTCTTAGAGGGGTGATTACTCCATCCTGGTCATTCAGCAAGGTGTGGCAGGGACCCCCACTGAGATACCACCCATGCATTCTTCTCAGGCTTCAGTGGGAAGCCTTTCTTCTCAACAGATCCAGGGACAGACTACTTCTCTCCTCCTTGGCAGCTACCACCATCCATCCTCTGTACCCTCCAGGCTGTCTTGCCCTGGACTGGCTGCAGAGAAGATAACAGATCCTCCAACTTCCCTCATCTCTGATGCTTCTGAGCCAAGCATTTCAGTCTTCTTCAGCCAAAGGATTTTTAACAGATAGAGAATTATTACAGAAATGTGTGCAGGAGGAGGTTATAAGGATAGATCATCTCGGTTCCACTCTGAGATTAATCATATATGCTGATGTGGCCAACAAAGGCATGTAGTCTTGAAGCTGGGGCTCCAGGACCAACAGACTAGCCAGCCTGCTCCAGGGCTTGACACTGAAGATGGCAGCCAATGCAGATGACCTGGTCAGGAGCTAAAGAAATAGTTCATAACAACTGTCAAGTCCAAAGGGAGCCTTGGCAAAGAGCTTTGACCAAAGTCAGTTCTGGGAGGGAGATTTGGAAGGGAATGAGACTGAGTGGGCATAGTCTGGAGAGGTATCCAAGGGGCTGAAATACATAGCCAAGTCCACTTTTTTTACGGCACAAATGTAAGAGATATTTAAGATGAAGAATCAATAGGACCTGGCAGCTGGGTGTGGGGTGAGGGAGTAGGAGGTGGGAGGCAGAAATGGTGCTACCGCAGAGGTGGAGAATCCAGGGGGCACAGCAGGTGTGAGGAGTGAGATAATAAGTTTAGTTTGGGAACTCAGATTTGAGGCGCCTCAAGTGGAGGTATTGGAGGGCAGCTGGCTTTGCAGATTTGGAACTTAGGCAGGAGGCAGAGGCTGGAAATACAGATTGAGGGGTTGTATTAGTCTGCTCGGGCTGCAGTAACAAATAGCACGGACTGGATCAGGATTGGTTCCTTGTGAGGACTCTCATCTTGACTTATAGATGGCCATCTTCTTGCATGTCCTCACATGGTCTCCTGTCTATGCATATCTGTGTCCTAATCTTTTCTTATAAGCACACTAGTCATATTGGATTAGGGCTCACCCAATGACCTCATTTAACCTTAATTACCTCTTTAAAGTCTTTGTCTCCAAATATAATCTCATTCCGAGGTATAGGGGATTAGCACTTTGATATACAAATGTGGGATGGTTACAATTCAGCCCAAAAGAGGGGTCATCAGCCCCCTAGGTGATCATGAGGTAGGCAAGACCACCTAGAGAGAGTGGGTTTGAGTGAGAAGGGAGTGTATAAGAAGATGGAAAGGATGTCACGAAGGAGAACAAGGAGGATGGGTCAGAGAGGAATGAAGCCTATGAGGAGAGGCAAGGGATACCAGGTGTCCAGGACAGAGTGGTCAACAGAGTCCAATGCCATGGGGATTCGGCATATTGACTGGTCTGGTCATTGGGAGGCTGTAGCCTTGGTGAGGATGGTTTCAGCGGAGCATGGGGTAGGTTAAGGGATGGATGAACATCACCAACGGGGAAGGGAGATGGGCAGCACAGAACACTTTGAAGCAGAAAGGGGCTGTAATGTGCTTTATTGTTGAATCTGTTTTCCTGCCCCTCACATAAGTCAGCACTTATTAATTGTGAAGCTGAAGGTTTTGACCCAGAGATAAAAAGATTGCTTCTTTTGCCAATAGGATTGGCTCCCAGATTCCTAGTAGGATATTGTAGCTGAGTAGATGGATGGTCTCCTGATATCTGGTCCTCTTTCTACTCCTCCTCTGACCCAGCTGAGATTGACTAAGATTGATTACAGCCAAGTCCTGGTTCTAGTGGAGCCTGATCTCAGGCCATCCTATGGCTACCCTAACATACTGATGCATGCATGTACACACACACACACACACACACACACACACACTCACACACACACACACACACACACAGAGGCTGGCCTCTGTGTCTGTCCAGAACTCAAGGATTTTTTTGCCTCCAATTTACCTCAACAGGGAGACTTCTAACTTAGAAATGACATTCTTGAACATTCTAAGCGACTCTAGGCAATCTGCTACGTTCTTCACAAAGCTTCCAACTTCCTTGATTTTGAAAGGCTGTGATGACACATGAGAAATAGCAGTTGCTATCTCCTCCCCTAAAAGACAAAGTAGACACCCACGTGTACACACATGCACACACACACACACACACAATTACACAACAATAAATACTCAAAAGGATGTAATGAAAGGTCTCCAGGAAGGGAGGCAGGACCCCCTGAGGTCTGGCTGTGCAGCTACCCTGTTTGAATAGCCTACCCTGCTACCCTATTGAGCAAAGCCCTCACATTTGGGGTCCCTAGTTTCTTTACCTTTTTAAAAGTAGGGTCAAAGTAGATGGCCCTTAAGGCCTTTCTCAGCCCCAACATTCCACAAGTCAGTGCAGCGCTTGCATGTGAAGCTCTCCTCTCACCTCCTTGCCACACCCTGGAGGCAAGGGTCACCTCTGGCATTATTGTTTCTCTCCTTTGGAGCATCTGGTAAAGTGCTTGGGCCCTACCCCCAGGAGAGGCATGAGCCCCATGGAATACTCCCACTGCTCCCATAGATCCCAGCTCACCTGAAGAGGCCTCATGGAACATGAGTCAGCAAGACCTCTGTGGGTCTCTCCCTTTCTGTGAACTGGCAGCTGCTAGTCGCCCAGTGCGAAAGAGCCAGCCTGGCTCTCTAAGAGGCCCATCATCACCTTCCATCAAACCCTGCCGACAGCCTTCCCCACAGTCGCAGGCCATAAACAAGGACTGCCACAGAGGGTTGGTTGCATTTGCAGCCCTGTGATTTATTCCAAGGGGTGTGTGCAATAAATGGCCCCACATTCAATTTGCTTTTGCTCTTTCCACTCAAAGCAGCCTTTAAAGGGCACCTTCAAGAGGCTTTGAATCCTTAGGAGGAAGAGATAAGTGGATATAAAAGCCATACGACACAGGCCTTCCTCACCTCAAAGGAAACAAACCCATGGAAGAGGAGGAAGGATCAGAAAATCATTATTAGAGCAATTTCTCATCCTTGCTTGACCTGGGATATTTTTCCTCTAATCTAAAAGGAACAATAATTGGATGTAACCTTCAGGGGGCATAAAGTTTTTGAGAACCAACTGGAAGACGGTGCACCCTCCTGTTCATGCATTGGTGCTGACACCTGGTTTCTTGCCATTTAAGTTCCTAGGAATCTGTCCTACCTCCACTAGGGTGGCAAACTGTGCTACCCTAAGTGTTTGCCTCTATGTCTGGGCTGCTCCAGGATGGATGCAGTTCCCCAGCATCCTGTCCCCTTTGGACACGGGCTTGTCCCTGATGGCCAAACCCTCCAGGTTGGCTGGTCCTGAGCTACAGGAAGACAGGACAAGGGAGAATGACAGTTGCTTCTTGCACATAAAGGTGTGTTTGAAGAGCCAGCTACTCCACCATTTTTCCCTTATTTGCCCTTCCTTTAGTTTTCTTCTCTTTCCTGCCTTCCATTTAGCAAGTGTTTATGAAATGTCTACCCTTGGATTTTCCAGCCTTGAACTTTGAAAGAGCCCAAGTAGACCTATCATGAGGGATGCGATGTAGAGGGAATATTTCTCCAAGTCAGATCCCCAGGTTTGAAGCTAGGTTTCTCCACTGACCCTATATGAGTCTGGAGAAGCCTCTTCACTTCCCTGAGCTTGGATTCCTCACCTGTGTGGTAGGGATAAGAGCTCCACTGTCCCCATGGGATGTTGTTAGTGAACTGTCAGCCCCTGCTCTTCTTTATAGCCTCAGAGAGGAACCCCTAATGCCTCCTCCCTCTGACTTTACTCATAGAGAATATTACCTATTGACACCTGCTCTGTGGATAGATCCTAGCATCTAAGTCAATGCTGTACTTAACAGGCTAAGGGTGCTGGTCACTCTGTTTTGCTCATGAACATTGTCACCAATTCTTGAAATGTTCCCTGTCCTTTTTGCTGCTTAGTGATTAGTTTCTGGAGGGCAAGGGATTTTATCTAAGGCTTCTTGCTCCCCAGCGTCCACAAAATATATGACAGTGCTCAATACAAGATAATTCAAGGTCAGTTGATCAGCAACTTATTAAAAATCTATCCTTTCTGGGATTTTCCCCTTCTCCTCCCACCCATGCTTTATGGTGGTCCATCTCAGATACAAGTCTGGGCTTCCCATTACTGATTCTCTTAAATACATTACAACATGATTTCTGAATGCTGCTCAAAGCTATATGAGGGGTAACAGTCATTCCTTGGCCCCAGGGAAATTTCAATCAGTGTTTCTAGATGCAGGGAGGTAGGGCAGGGAAAGATGTCCAGTTTCATGGTGCTAAGAAAGGGGCAGCCTTCATGGCTTTCCTCACAAAGTCTCAGGATTTCAGACTCTTGCAGTTTGGTTGGTATGGAATCACAGCCAGTTAGAAAGCGTGAAGATTTTAGAAATTGTTTTCAACCTTTTGCCCTTTATGCCACCCAAACCATAATGAGATGTGATGAGTACAGCTGCTTGCTGCATCAGCCCTCCTGCAGGAAGCAGTACTGATCTTAGTGTGTCACTGACCTTGTCATCAGCAGCCAGATGCCAGCCACTCCCTGGGGTGGCTGTCCACTGATGCTGAGTAACCTCCCAGCCATGGTACTGGGAGCCTACTACTCACAACCCTGGTAGCCAGTTCCCGAAAGCCAACTCAGCAGTGTCACAAAGTCTAAATCTGGAGGGACAGAACCCTCCATCCTTCATGCCAATAGTGTGCCAAGGAAGAGAATCCTCTGGAACCCAAAGGGTTGTGGTAGAGCGCCCAGAAGACACAAGTCGGATTAAGGAAGTCCATAATCCTAAGGATCATCTCCTCCAGTTAGGATGGTTTGTAGGTCCTAAAGGAGACAGTTTAATTTACAGTGGGGTGGGGGGGTCATTGTTCCACCATTCAGCAACCACTTGGTGCTAAGTTAGGGGCCACAGAGAGTCTAGAGCTTGATCATGCATGGTTCATGCCTCTAGAAGCTTATAATTTTATGTGGGGGGGGCGGTATACCTTGTTTCTCTAATGTAGGGAGGAAAACAAATGATTGGTGTCAGCAGAGAGGCACAAAATGTAATGGAGGGTTGACTCTCATCACTCCATTCTAGGTAGGAAGCTAGATTCTCACTAAAGCTGAGAAGGGCACCATTACTTCTACTACTGGGTTCTGGGCAATGCAGTGGGATGGTCCCGGATGCCAAACATGAAGAGATGGGGGGTTTCTCCTTTACAGTGTCCCAGCCCCATCCTCCAGGCAAATCCACTAGGCTGTGTTCCTGGCTTTTCCAGGGGAAAATCACTTCTTCCCAGAGGCTTCCCAAATAAGAGTCCTATAGCCCATCACCCTGTCAGGATGGAAGCAATAGTGACAGGAGCCCTGGGATTTCATCCTGAGCTTTTCCTGGGCCTTTAGCACAGCAGTAAAGGCCTTCCTCTTCAAATAAGGAATGATAGGGTACTCCAGCATTTTCTGTGCAACGCATTGTTCCAGCAGCTCTAAGGCAAGGGGTTGTAGGCAAAATATGTCTCACTGCCCGTTTTTGTAAAAATTGTTATTGGCACACAACCATGCTCATTGTTAATGTATTATCTATGGCTGCTTCCATAATACCATGGCAGAGTTAAATAGTTGTAACAGAGACCATATGGCCCCCCAGGCCTAAAATATTTCCTATCTGGTTCTTTACAGAAAAATTTTGCTGATCTCTGCTTAGCAGGAGGAACCAAAGCTGAATGAGATAGGTCCCTAACCTATAAGAGAATGTTGCCCAGTTTCAGAGATGGATGCTTCCATAATGACAGTATAATTCTGGGATGGATGCAATATAAGTAGAAGCCACTTTGAATGGGAGGAGATGGCTTTATGAGGAGCATTTGAATTATATACATCTCAATTCAGAAAAGTCACTTTTAGGGTGCTCAATGGCCACTTGTGGCTGGCGGCTGTTGTATTGGACAGTGTTTGTGGACAGAGGTCCCAGCTGCTGAACTAAGTTTTGTGGGCTCTGTTTTGTAGGAAAAAGAGAGCTCATGGGGATTTCTGATCTTGCTTTGGATGTTCTCTATTGATGTTGTCTGGAATGATGAGAAAGGAGGCATATTATGAGGTCAATGCAAGAGTATAGATGACAACTAAGGGGGATGTCAGCAGTAGGTCACAGGAGAAGGAAGACTGGGAAGACATTTGCAGAAATACAACAGGGTGACCAACAGATTGGAGCTGGGGTGGGGTGGAGGAGAGTTAGGATGACAGCCACATCACTTGAATGCAGCAATCACCCACCCATCCTTATATCCCTGGCTGCACCATGCACTGGTTAGCAAACCTCTTTGGACAAATCTCTTTGGATACTGTATTGCCCCATGACTGGATCCAGCCATTTGTCTATGCTGGGTACTAAATTCCCCATAGTGCATTTGGTCAGTAAGCTTTTTTTTTTTTTTCCTGTTTTTCCTGACACTCTGTCCTCCTGTATGCACATGTTGACCTTACAGCTTATAAAATGCTTTCAGGGATCCCTGGGTGGCGCAGCGGTTTGGCGCCTGCCTTTGGCCCAGGGCGCGATCCTGGAGACCCGGGATCGAGTCCCCACATCGGGCTCCCAGTGCATGGAGCCTGCTTCTGCCTCTCTCTCTCTCTGTGTGACTATCATAAATAAATAAATTTAAAAAAAATAAAATAAAAATAAAATGCTTTCAAATCCGATTTCCGCTGCTTCTCACAACAGCCCTGGAAGGAAGGAAGGAAGGAAGGAAGGAAGGAAGGAAGGAAGGAAAGAAAGGTATTACTGTCTTCATTCTACAAATGGAGAGATGCTACCCAGAGGCCTCAAAGGACTTTCTGGAAGTCACAGCTAGGGACTTTGGAGGGAATAGGACCAGTACCCTAGATGTGTGTGTGTTAGTATTGATCAAACCCAGAACCAAAAGTGTTCCTTGGGTATGTGCTATGTGGCAGTCACTGTACTCAGAAGCTTTGATGTAGATTATGTCATTTCATTGCACAAGTGCCCACATGTTATTGGTGAGAAAACCAAAGCTCGGGTACATGGCTCTTCCAAGGCCATGCAGCTGGTAAGCTGCAGACCAGGACACAAATCCAGAATTTACTTTAGGACTGGTGGTGCTTTACCTCAACCTCTCAGCTCTCTGTCAAACCCCAATCTGTCTACCCTTGTCCTGTATCTGCTTGATTTGGAAGATATGATTTGCTCTGTGATGTCATCTCCAAGAGTGCAATGATGAGCCATATTAAATTTTTTTTTATTTTTTTTAATTTATGATAGTCACAATGAGAGAGAGAGAGAGAGGCAGAGACACAGGCAGAGGGAGAAGCAGGCTCCATGCACCGGGAACCTGATGTGGGATTCGATCCCGGGTCTCCAGGATCGCGCCCTGGGCCAAAGGCAGGCGCCAAACCGCTGCGCCACCCAGGGATCCCGATGAGCCATATTAGAGCAAGATTCCTCTGTTCATTTTATTAAGGACTTACAATGTGTTAGACATTATGGGGTTAAAGGATGATGATGATGACAATGTGGGGGTAGCAACAGCAGCTGCTTGACCCGTACAGTGTTCATGACACCATTGTAAGCACTCTCTAGGCATTAGTGCATTTCATCTTCTTACCAATCCTGACATGGGTATTGTTATTAGTCCCATTTTATAGACCTAAGGCACAGGGATGTTAAGTGCTTTGCCTAAACTCATATAGCTAGGAATTGTTCAAGTCAGGACAAATAAGAAATCATTTCTATCCTCTGAACTGCTCGGGGAAGGCAACATGCAAAAGAACCATTTCAATGTTCAACATATTACAAACCACGTTCCATGTCATTTGACAATGTTGGAACAATTTTAAGTATTTTCTCTTGATGGGGAAAAACTGAGGCACCCCCAAGCTTTGAATTCTAGTACTTCCTCACCATTATCCTGCAACCAACCCAGTTTTCCTTTTCTCTCTCTGCTGACGTCAGGTTCTTAACAACTTGGACAGCCACCTGAAGAAATCCGAATACTTCCGCTTCCTCTGGTTCCCGCACAGTGAGAACGTCAGCGTCATCTACCAGGACCACACCAATAAGGTAGCAACAGGTAGCAACAGCTACCTTATTCCCATCCTCACACATAGCCTGCAGTCCCCAGGATGGCTGACATTTGTCATTGTCCCAATGATCAGTGAGGTGTGACAGGGAAAGGAAGAGTGAGCATCATTGAGCATGAGGATAGAAGCAGAAAAGGCAGGAAGGTGGAAGGAGGAAGGAAAATTGGCCCAGTAAAGGTCCAATGTGGCCACAGGTAAGGATGTGTAGGAGGGAGGTCAAGGCACAGCCCAGATGTGGGACAGGGGAGCAGAAGTGTTGGCAGGACAGGGTAGCATAAGATAAACTACCAGGCACCTGGGTTATACCTCAAACCATCTAATACACCTCCACCACCCCCAACTTTCCCACCCCCAAGTGGACAGGTGAAGAAACCAATGGTCTTGTCCCACGTCCTTAGCAAATGGGCTGCTTCTCAGCAGAACACAAAGCCATCACTCAGGATGAATGTTCATGGGACAAGTCAGGCAAAAGCAATGCCGCTCATCGTGTGTTAGGGACTGCCATGAGGTCCATAAATGGTGATCGCTGGACACCTGCCTTGTAGACTCAGAGGAGGAGAGACAGATGCACATTGTTGTCTTGTGCAAAATAAATACATATGTAAATACACATGAGATGAAAGAGTCATGAGAATTGGCTGTGTCACCAAGAAGTGAGGCTTTCAATTGTCCTATTTTTGGGGTCACCCCCCCAAACACAAGTGCAGCCACTCCTGGGACTACATCTCCCTCTAAGGGGACACGGTGATGCATAGATCAGAAAGCAGCCACTGAATTCTACTCCAGAAACCAATATTGTACTGTATGTTAACTAACTAAAATTTAAATATGTGTGTGTGTGTGTATATATATATATATATATATTGATGAAAGCAGCTGAGCTCTGGCCCTGCACTGATCACAGATTCTTTTTCCCAGCCCCCCTCCTCTTCCGCCAACTGGTTTTGGGACTATGCCATCGGATTCTATCTACTGGAGTTCCTGCTCTGGATCAGGTAGGAATGCAAGAGTACTTTCTTCCAGCATCTGCTAAATGCTGTTGAAGATGCAGTCCATCAGAAAAATAATACCCTGGCCTTTAGGCATGGAAAATGGGTCTGTCTCCTGGGTCTAGAGCAGAGATTTTTGACCCTACCTGCACATTCAAATCACCTAAGGAGCTTTTTTAAAAAATACCAGTGCCAGGCTCCACTCTCTGGCCCCCTAGTGATGTAAATCTTCCCATATTGTTCTGTTTGCTGCCTTCCCAGCCTAAAATCTGTGCTCATGCTCAGGCCCCATGTTGGCCCAGTAGACATGTAACTCTGAGAGATGGGGAAGGTTTCATGGGGCCTTGAGTGGTAACTTTGTCACCAGCCAAGACATGGGATGGCATTCTATAAAATTTTTTGAGATATTTTATACATGCAAAATAATATTAAAAACGTATTTAAAGTATACAGAATAACGTCATAAGCACCCATGTGATTACCACCAGCTTAAGAAATGAAACAACCAAAATAGCAATAAATGAATTCAAATAAAAAAAAAAAGAAATGAAACAACACGAGTACAGTTGGAGTGGTCTTTGTAAAGTCCCAAATCACAGCCTCCAAGGCGTCACCAAGAAGAATCGCCACCCTGAACTTTATGCTTATCATTCCCTTGTTCTTATTTATAGCTTAGTTTTACAAATCCTGAAATAATAAATGTGGTAATCCAGCTTCGATCATGATAATTACCCATGTTGATATGCATAGCTGTAATTACTCATTAGTCACTATATGCATGATGTATTTGTCCATACTCAGATATTTGGGCTGTTTCCGAAATTTTTTTTTTCTGTTATAAATGATACTGTTGTGAGCATTCTCAACCATTGCTCCTGGTGCTTTTATTTTGTCTTAAGTGAAATTTGTGGGTATTTTTTGCTTACTGTCCTGTAGAGTTTTATTTATAGATTTTGAGCAATTTGTTGCAACATCTCCCTGTTTGTGTTGTCTTGCATTTTTATAGTTTTTAACGTGTAGATGTATATAATGTTAATGTGAAAATTAGCCATCTTTTCTTTTACTTTGGTACTTCTGTGTCTTATTAAGAAATCAGGCATAAAATCCCATCAAGGGTGGCACCGCAGCAGGACCTGCAGAACTAGCTGAAGTTCTTGGTGGTCCTGGACACGAGTCTGAATCCCGGCATCTGGGAAAAAGTTGGCCTTCGCCAGGGAAGGGGGGCAACAGGTGGCACCACTTAGGACCCACGTTGGGGTGACTCACTGCCTGGAAGGTGTTAGGAGAGTGAACACAAGCCGGGACTTACTGCATCCAAGCAGGGATGGGACAAGAAGCCATGAGTAAGCCCCACTGGGAGCCACCGCTCCAGCAGATTGTGGATGGGAGTGAGGGTACAAAATGCCCCGTCAGGGGCTTTCTCTCCAGCTTCCATCACAGCCTCTCAGCAGTTTTACATGTATGTCTCCGGGGCTTGAGCCCAGTGAGCACCCAAATAAATTGGGCTCTAAACCACAGCTGCCAGTTCCCAGCCCCAGGTGGACACTCTGTGGGAGCTCCACAGCTTCTGAGTTCAGCCCCCATGGCTTAGCTGCTTCTGGAAACTGCATCCACCCGGCTCCCCCCACCCTGGCAGTTCTGCAGCGCCCACTAAGCTGTGTGCCCAAAAGTGAGGGAATGAAAAGTGAATAACAGATTGTGCTTGGTGGTTTAAATGGCTGCTTCACTGTAAGACTCATGGTGGCCCTGCAAGGGCAAGGACCCTGTCTGTTTCATCATACTCGGTCCTTAGTGCCCCAAATAGTGGCTGGCACCTAGAGGTGGCTCCTGGATAACTGTGTAAGAAACACCAAATGAAAAGCCTGACACCTGTCTTTGAGGAGTTCGGTAGTGGTCCACTGTAGGAGTGAGGGTGGTGGCTGCAGCTGACCAGCACAGAAAGGCAGGCTGTCTGTTGGGAACAAGTCCCTGGAGGGTGAGCCAAGGCCAGGGCCGAGCTCAGCTCCTGTGGTTAGAATAACCCTCTCCCAGGGGCCAGTGGAAGCTCCACCGCAGCCAGCTGGCCTCTGAGACACCAGAGAACATCTACCTTGAAACAGGCAACATCCTTCTCCTGCCCTGCCCCTGCAGCATGAACCCAGGTACCCTTTCTGAGTCCCAGGAAACTCAGCAGCTTGGGACCACAGGAGGAGCATGAGCTGTGGATTCAGAAGAACACGGACTCTGGTCCTCACCCCTTCATTTTCCTGCTGTGTGACTCTGGGTAAATCCTTCAGCCTCTCTCGGCTGTGGTTTACCCATATGTAAAGTAGAGCCACTAGCAACAGATGGGTTGTTTGGAGGATTCAGGATCAAGTCTGCATGAAAGGTGTTCCCTCCCTTCTCACAATGGCCTTTAGTGCCCCACCTAAGGGGGCAGGGGTCCCCGGACCTGCTGTTCTTATCTGTACCCCCATGAGCTTTGAGCAGCTGGGATGGGTTTTTGACGATGAGACAGAAGGGATGAGACAAGGGACAGGCGTCTGGGGAGGGTCCCTCTAACCAGAGGCTCCCCACAGGCAGGAAGAAACCAGACTAAGCCTTGTTACCAGGAGTCTTGAGTGACTCCAGGAGAGGCACAAGCTACAACTGACGGGATCAGAGCCAGTTCAGCTCACAGGAGCCTAGGCTGGCAGGAATCGGGCTTATGAGTGGGATGACCAGGGAGGCCCCTGCAACCGGCCTCAGAGCCTGTGTCCCCTTTGGGTATATATCTAAAAGAATTGAAAGCAGGGACTTAAAGAGATTTGCACACCCATGTTCACAGCAGCATTATTCATAACAGCCAAAAGGTGGAGGCAACCCAAGTGTCTGATGGATGAATTGATAAACAAAATGTGGTCTTTCCTTATAATGGCATAGTATTCGGTCTTAAAAAGGAAGGACGTTCTGACACAGGCTACAGCATGGATGAATTTTAAGGACAAGATGTTGAGGGAAATAAGCCAGTCACAAAAAAAGCAAATCCTGGAGCACCTGGGTGGCCCAGTGGTTGAGCATCTGCCTTCAGCTCAGATTGTGATCCCGGGGTCCTGGGATCGAGTCCTGCATTGGGGTCCTTACAGGGAGCCTGTTCCTCCCTCTGCCTATGTCTCTGCCTCTCTCTGTGTATGCTCATGAATAAATAAATTAAATCTATAAAAACTAACAAACAAAAGCCAAATCCTGTACATTGCTCTTCTGTGAGGGGCCCTAGAGCAGAGTCATAGACACAGAAAGTAGAATGGGGGCTGCCAGGGTTGGGGAGGGGAAGGGGAACGGGGAGTTGTTTATTGGGGACAGACTTTCAGCCTGGCAGGATTCTGGAGATCCCGTACCCCAGCAATGTGAATATCCTTAACACTGCTAACTTCACACTTACAAATGGCTAAGATGGTAAATTTAATGTCATGTATTTTTTTTTTTACCAAAATTAAGAATGAAAAAAAAAAAACCCACCCAAACACTGGAAACAAGCTGCTCATCAATAGGAGAGCAAGTGGCAAACATGTGGGCTATCCAGAAGTAGCAGAGTCTGTAGAGAATGAGGTTTGCAAGGAACTCACCGCACAGTCTGCAAGCACACGGGGACCCGCTAAGTGCTGGGTGCTGTGATCCCGAATCACCCTCTGTGCTACCCCCCAGTTCCTTCCTGCCAGGCCTCGTGGGCTGGATCAATCGCTTCTTCTTCTGGCTCCTGTTCACCAGGAAGAAGGAGAGCAGTGACCTCAGCCACAAGATCTTCACCTACGAGTGCCGCTTCAAGCAGCATGTCCAGGACTGGGCCATCCCCAGGTAGGGGCCGCGCGGGCCAGGCTGCGGGTGGCCCGTGTCAGAGAGACACCCTTGGGTCTTCACCGCAGCCCGGGCATGTACACTGTCAGCCAGGTTCCCAGTCTCGCCCGTTATTAGCAGGGGCCAAACTGGAGGCCGAGCCCCCTTCTGGCACCCTTGTTACCCAGCTGTCCTACCTGTGAGGGGACACCAGCCACGGAGACCCCTCTGTCCTCCTGGTTGGTCCCTCTCCAGCTTGGAGGTGGGTTGCAGCCCATGGGCGTGAAGCATGGGGCTTCTTGCCCAGCTTCTTGTTTTTCTGGAAGACTGTCCCCTGCATTCAGTCCGTCGGGGGGGGGACAGAGCCCCCCTTCATTTGCCAGAGGCTGGTACTCTCCCTTGAGAGGGACACCTGGTGAGGACCTAGGCTGGGTCTGTGGCCTGTGGCCCATGGCTCATTACAACTTTCTCTCTGAATGGTCCCCTCTGTCTGTCTCTCTGCAGGAAAGTGGGTGATGGTGTCCAGGGCTTAGGGGATGTCCCGTCACTGCGTTCAAGGGCTGGGGCACTACTGTCCCAGAGGGACTATAAGGACAAGTGGAAGTATTAGAATCAGACTGACTTTACCCTGACAGAGAAGGAAGAGGCCAGTGGGGTGGGCCAGCTGTGGCCAGACACCTGAGGGAACCCCCTGATTAGGCAGGGGGTAGGCAGGGCTGAACCAAGAGCCCTAGTAGCCCTCCAGGAGGGACATTCAGAGGCTCTACTTCCATAGGAAGGACTTTGAGAGCAGCCACCAGAATGGGCCTCCTGAGGAGCTGGGAGCCCCCGTCCTGGGGCGTGGGCTGGGGGGGCCATGGGGAGCCCGGTGTGAAGGCTCCTGGAGGCCCCTTCCCAAGGGCTGGCTTCTGTCCCCCTGGCCGAGTGCAGAGAGAAGACCAAGGAGGCCCTACTGGAACTGAAAGCCATGCTGGAGGCCCACCCCAAGATGGTGGCCCACTTCCCCGTGGAGGTCCGCTTCACCCGCGGGGATGACATCCTGCTGAGCCCCTGCTTCCAGAGGGACAGCTGCTACATGAACATCATCATGTACAGGTGACTGGCTCTCTGGCGGGGGGGGGGGGGGGGAGGGGTTGGGGAGGCAGCTCCTCAGCTTTGAAAGGACCCCCTCCCTCCCTACCCATCTTTCAAGGCCAGTTCAAATGCTACCTTGTCCGGTGAGACTTCTTTGATCCTGGTGGCAGAAGATAGTCTCTCTCTCCTTTGGGTTCCTACGACTACCATTTCCACCCCCTGTTATGTTAATACAATAATCAATATTAATAAGCGATGTGACTCCGAGTAGCTACCACTTGGGAGATGGGTATCATGCAGTGGCAAACGCATGCTATCTCGCGTGCCTACTCTGGCCGATGGTTCTGAGAGCCTGGAACGGCGTGTTGAGGCGGATTCTGAGGCCAGGTTTAAGTTAAGCAGAAAAGAGGATCCCGCTCCATCCGAGCTGCCTGCCTGGATGCATTTGCCCATCCCGACCAGCTCCACCAGGCCCTATGCAGGTACCTTTACCTGGTTAGTTGTACATAGCTGTCTCCAGGACAGGGCGTAGGACATGCACGTTTAAGAAGCCCATCTCTTAAAAAGATTTCCCCCGTAAAATGGGTCTTCCTTTTGCCTCTTCTTCCAGCCCTCATTGATAACAGCCCTCCTCTGACTTTACAAGAGAAAAACATACCTCTCCCCCAGCTTGAATCTTACTATGGGGTATTTCTCCAGCATGTAAAAACCTCAAACGTAGAGGATGCCCAAGGGACAATTATAGAATGCGCCGTTCCAGAAACATGTCCCAAAAAGCCAGAAAAGAGAGCTTTGGAAAGATGCATTGAATGGGAGGCAGCTTATTTCACACAGGGACAGATTGTTGGCAAGGCTCAGACCTTATCTGTCTGTCCCTCTATCTGTCTTCTCCCTACCTAAGAATGCAGATCAGAAGTGAGAAAGTTGCCATGGGTATACATCGCGTTTATTTGAATTTTTGAAAGTTTTGATTTAGATTTTTTTGTCAGTAAGTCTGACTTGGCTGTTGGCAGTAAGGTTCTATGGTCATGCTTTCTAAATGTCAAGTGAGGGGATTTGGAGATTCCTAGGCTTGGCAAAAAGATGACATATTTACTCCCTCGGCCTCTGCCTCTCCCCTCCACCCATGCTTTCTCTCTCTCTCTCTCTCTCTCTCTCTCTCTCTCTCTCTCTCTCTCAAATGAATAAATAAAATAAAAAAGAGGACATATTGAGCAGCACCTGGGTGGTTAAGTCCATTAAGCGTCTGACTCTTGATTTTGGCCTAGATAATGACCTCAGAGACCTGAGATCGAGCCCCTCGTTGGGCCTCGTGCTCAGCTAGTCTGCTTGAGATTCTCTCTCCATCTTCTCACTCTCCCTCTGCCCTTCTCCCATTCTCTTTCTTACTCTCAAATAAATAAAGAAATCTTAAAAAAAAAAAAAGAAAGAAAGAAAAACTGTCATGGTATTTTAAAAAAAAGATGACATATTTCTATGTTATACCATAAAGATGTGTGTGTGCATGTATAATATATTTAAACTCATGATAAGTTTTGGATGCCAACTATAAAATATGTGAGAGGAAGCAACCATTTATGAAATCCTTCTAGTGATGAGCAATGAGCAAAACCCCTCAAGTTGCTTGATCACTGCCATCCGTGTCCTGCGGGCAGAGCCACGGCTTAAACTCCTCGCCGCATGCCAAGTGCTGAGTACGGCACGGAGAAGGCCACCTAACTACGGTGGGATGCTAGGGCAGGGATGGGGCCTCACCATCTTCTGCTCCCCACCAGGCCCTACGGCAAGGATGTGCCACGGCTGGACTACTGGCTGACCTACGAGACCATCATGAAGAAGGTCGGGGGCAGGCCCCACTGGGCCAAGGTAGGATTTGCCAGTGAGAGGCTGACAGGGCCATCAGCCTGGCCACTGCTGAGAAGTGCAGATTCACCAGCAGGTGCCTCTCTTCCTCTGCCTGCCCAAGGCTCAGGAATTGCCATCCAGGAGCTGAGCACATGTCACAGGAAGGGAGGGTTTCACTGCTGTACCCAGACCCAGCTTCCCTGGCATCCTTGTTCTGACAGCTCCATGATTGTGCTCAGTGAAAACTGCCTCAGAGTTTTCAGAGAAATTGCTCATCTTTCATTTTATTTGATTTCTCATAGAAACCCACCGGGCAGGATAAGGCAGGAGTCAATGAGCCCCTTTAACAGATAGGGAACGGAGAGTCTCTCCGAGGTGATGGGACTGACTTCCTAATCAGCAGTAGAATTGGGGCCAGAGCCCTCTCCTGGGTCACACTGTGAGGTGGCAGGGGGAATGGAGAATTTAATGTTAGCACGGTAACACTTTTCTTCTTTACCTTCCTAAGAACTTCCTCTCTCGTATTTGGGTCTTTACATTATGTGTGTCCATACATCGTGCATGCGTATGCCTGGATATGTGTGCACACACACACACGCACATGTAGGTATGGGTACATGCATTTTGTGTGCATGCATGCATGCATGTGTGAGTGAGTGGATGCCTGTGTGCGCCCCGGGATAGGAGTGTCGCATGTTCGGGCACACAGACACAGGGTTGCCTGTTTGCAGTCGCACTGAAATATCAGCTCCACGGAACAAGGCCCATTTTGTCTGGTTGCTTCCACAGGCCCACAACTGTACCCGGAAGGACTTTGAGAAAATGTACCCAGCCTTTTCCAAGTTCTGTGCCATCCGAGAAAAGCTGGACCCCACCGGAATGTTCCTGAACGCGTATCTGGAGAAGGTGTTCTACTGAAGCAGAAACAGAAATTAATTGAGCCCACCTCATTTCCCTCAGGCCCACCTCTGGAGAGGTTGAAGGCTCAATGTCCCACTGGCCTGATGGGGAGCAGACCTCTCTCTGCAGGACCCACAGCTGCTCCAACCCACAACCATGAGCTTGGATCTGGGCAGGGCTCCCCATTCTACTTCCTGTATCTTCACAACTACCCCATGCAAAGAAGAGCACCCAAATCTCCATTTGCATCTCCATGGGGCAGTCCCTTTTCCTAAACCTACCACCACCACCTTCTGTTTTCCCAGGAAATAGAGGAACCCCAAAATGTTATGTTTGTTTAAGAGGTCAGGGATCCAGTCATTCACAGGTTCCACCTGCCAGCTGGGTGTCTGTAACTCCAGAGCCCCTATTAACGTGTATTTGGGCACAATTGTCATGCAGGTATCCTTACACCCTTGAGGGGGTTTCAAATGCTCAAGTGAGTGTCCACCAGCCCTGGGACTGCCCTCCTCCATCTCTGTCTGTCCACCTGACCTCCCATAGCCTGACCTCTAAGCATGTCTATTTCACGGGGTGTTTGAGGAGTGGGCCTCTCCTTGCCTTCTGTTAAATAAAGACCAAGAATTATTCACTCTCTGCCCCCATCTCTTCATCTCCAGGTAATCGTTTGGGAACAGGAGGCTCACTAATTTCCTGGCTTCCCTCCAGAGGTAATGGGTCTTGGGCCTGCCCGGAAAATGCTCTGCATATTCCTTTTGCAAATTTAGTTTCAACTTGCCTTAGTTTCACACTTTGTGGCCATTCTTTTGTGAATATTCACTGAAGACCTACTAGGTGTCAAGTGCTTTGGGGGGATTGATAGAACATTAAGACAGGTTCCTGGCCTCAAGAAATGTATATTCTAATCTCATATCTCATAAGAGGTTAATATCTGTGATATATGAAGAACTCTTACAATTCAACAACAACAAAAATTTGTAAGTGGGCAAAGGACTTGAGTAGATGTCTCCAAAGAAGACATCCAAATGTCCAATAAGACCAAGAAAAGATGCTCCACATCATTAATCATTAAGGAAGTGCAAATAAAACCACAATGAGATATCACTTCACACCCATTAGGATCAGGATTATTTAAAAAATAAAAAATTTAAAAAACAGAAAATAAGAAGTATCGTCAAGGACATGAAGAAAGTAGAACTGTTGTGCGTCACTGGGGGGAATGTAACCTGGCACAATCACTCTGGAAAACAATATGGCGACTCCTCAAAAAATTCAACATACAATTACCACACGATCTAGCAATTCCACTTCTAGTATATACCCAGAAAAACTGAAAGTAGGGACTTGAAGAGAGATTTGGACAGCATGTTCAGAGCAGCACTACTCGCAATCCTCAAAGGTGGAAGCAACCCAACTGTCCATAGATGAATGGATAAGCAAAATGTATAATATACAGACAGTGAAATATTATTCAGCCTTGAAAAGGAAAGAAATTTTAGCTTATGCTACAATATGGATGAACCTGGTAGGCATCACGTTAAATGTAATAAGCCAGGCACAAAAAGAGAAACACTGTATGATTCCACATAGATGAGGTATTTGGTGTAGTCAACCTTCTAGAGACAGAAAGGAGAATGGTGGTGGCCAGGGGGTCGGGGAGGGGGAGTAGGGACTGGGTGGTGAATGGGGACTGAGTTTCAGTTTGGGACAATGAAAAAGTCCTGGAGATGGATGGCAGTGATGTTTGCATGACAATGTGGATGTTCTTAATACTGCCACTGACATTATTATTTATTTAACAGTGGTTAAAATGGGAAATTTTATGTTATATATTTCTTACACCAATGAGCATGAAGAAATGTATATTCTAGTTCAAGGAAACAAAATTAATGTGCATAGGACGTGAAATAGTAATACCAGGGAGACAAGATGAAGGGTCAGGGAAATGGTATAGCCATGAAGACCTGGCCAGCCCACCTGGACAAAAACTACCTCAGCCAAAAGATCCAGGACCGTGGCTATGAGAGCCAGAACCAGCCCTTCGGCGGGGCTGATTATATCAGTCACAGGGTCCAGTGCAAAACAAAAATGTCAGGCAGGTGATAGCTGAGCATTAATTTAAGCTTAGGGTTCTTCTGAGCACCACAAAGGTCATGCCCAGACGTGTATATCACAGCCACAACAGCTAGTTTTGTGTGTCAACTTACCAGACTCGAGTACTGAATTATTGAATCTAGGCATTGATCTGAAGATGTTTTGTAGATGTGGTTAATATCTACAGCCAGGGGCTCTACATAAAGGAAATTAGTCTCAAAAATGTGGGTGGCCTTTGTGCAATCAGTTGAAAGACTTAAAAGCAAAAACTGAGGTTTCTGGAAGCAGAATGAACTCTGCCTCCTGAGTTCCTGACAGAGTTTCCAGACTGTGGGGCTGCCCCCACGGATTTTAGACTTGGGAACATCCCATGAGCCAACGTCTTGGATGAGTATGAAATATGCGTTGATTCTGTTTCTCCAGAAGACTCAGACGGATACATATAAGAGATGAGTAAAGTTAATTAAAGGAAAGGCATAGCAGGCAAAACCCTGAGGCTTTCGAAATCCATTCACTCTCATGTTCTACAGATGAGGAAACCAAGGCTCAGAGAGGTGGAGAAACTTGTCCGATATCACACAGCAAGTTACGAAAGGCAGTATCTCAAAACTTTCGACCAAAGTCTGTCTCATAGCCCTACATTTTTGAGAGTTTGAACTTAATTTCTAAAATCTATGCATGTTGCATTCTATTTCATTATGTAATTGTGTTTTAAACTTTTGAGTAACATTTTACTTTCCAAATCTTTAAGTAACATTTCCGCTCTAGAAAGGAGTGCCCTGTTGGCACTCCCCAGAGGGAGACGCACAGATATTGAAGGACACAGATATTGAAGCCCAATGTCTGAAGTCTGAAACCTTGAGATTCAGAAAAACTTCAAGTCCTGGAATGCTAGGGCAAAGAATACTCTGGAAATAGACTTTCTAATTATCAGAGAGTCCAGATGTCTTTTCTGGCTCAGGCTTTTGATGAATATAATTTACTCTTCCTTTGATTTGGGATCTTTTGATGCCTGGAGTTCATCCTTCCCCAAAAAATTATTGTTGCAGAATACTCTTGATATTGAATGGTGTGCCCTGAGGCCATAAATTGGGCTCCTGAGGGCATTGCTGATATGGATCCACTTTTTCTCTCCTTCCTTGATTCCTGCTTGTTCCTCTGTCCCAGATTCCCACTGGCTGGCTTCTTTTCTCTCCCAGTATAGCCTTATTATGTAAGCCTCAGGTAGCGCGAGCCAGCTCTGCGCTCTGTGGCAAACATTCTCATGGGAGGAGATTTAGGAAATCATGGGTGCTGAGACCTATGCTCTGAGACTGGGTTTCTAACAGTGGACAGTGCCTGCCAGCACCCTCTAAAGAAACAGATGGAAGGATGAGGAATGGCATTTTCCTTGGGCCAATGGGAAACTAAATTGTAGTGCAGCATCAGGGCTGTTAGGCCATGCGGGCTCTCAAGGTTAAATCTGGGGCGAGAGGTCACCAGCCAAAAGAAAAACTGCAAATCTCACCAAGTGGAGTGAGTGAACTGTGGGTGGCTTCTCCCCTCAGGGCAGCCACCTGGCCCCTCACCCCGCCGGGGCAGAGCTGAGAATGGGAGGGGTCCGGGTGAGCTGTGAGGGTCTCAGAAGGATGCACTTCTGCCCAGAAAATTTCCCAAAATTCAAAGATGTGAGACATTTAAAGGCTCAAGACAGATGCCCCCTCACTTTACTTGCAGGTGTCTCTGTGCAAGGATAACCCCAAACTGGCTGAGCCAACTTGGCCACCTGCATGGACAGGGCCAAGAGGATAGCTAAGAGGGTGAATAGATAGGGCCGCCTCGAGGGAGGGGGCAGCAGAGCCCACCCGTTGAGCTGCAACAGAACTTTGGTCCTCTCAAGGTCAGCAGCCACGGTCAGCCCCAGAACAGGGACTCATGGCGCCCCCTCGTGGCAGCTCTGCCGACACAGCCCAGGTACCCGGGCAGAAACCAAGCAGCCCACCCTTGACCTGCACTGTGTGGCGGGCTAGTGCCCAACTGTAAAGCAGCCAGGAATGCCACAGAGAAGGGAGCAGACCCTGAGGGAGGGGAGCCATGGAGGGGGGTTGCTGAGAGGGAAGAGTTCTCTATGCAAGCCTAGGTTTCAAATTTAGAGATGTCTGGGTACCCTACAAGGAAGATCCTACCTGTAGGTCTCTAGTTACTAAAATGAGGCCAAAGGCAGGAGCTAACCACAATGGGAGCATGGAAGCTGGAAAAATAGCTATGAGCCTCCTAATCTTAGGAGCCCTGCAGGAACCCATGGACTAAAAGGGGACCCATAAAGGGATCCCTGGGTGGCCAGTGGTTTAGCGCCTGCCTTCGGCCTGAGGCATGATCCTGGAGTCCCAGGATTGAGTCCCACATCGGGCTCCCTGCATGGAGCCTGCTTCTCCCTCTGCCTGTGTCTCTGCCTCTCTCTCTCTTTGTGTCTCTCATGAATAAATTAAATCTTTAAAAATAAATAAATAAATAAAAGAGGACCCATACAATAAAGCAGGGTCTGAGCAAAGCTGAACTAAATCCCCCGAGCCTGCCTTATCTTGGTTTTCCCCCTGGTTTTCTTTCCCACATGGCAGGGACTTTCAGAGACCAGATGACACCTAGACATCTCCGGGAAATTATCAAAATTTGGTTGTTGTTTTTTTCCACTTTTGACATCCACGCTGTGCCTTGTTCAAGATCATTGCCGGCTCTTATGTGAAAGGCCAACAGCACCTGTGCACTCCATGCAGGTGGACCAATGCTTGGATGTGGGTTTGAGGTTGGAGAATGGATCCGTTCCTTTGACACCTCTCTGTGATTTCACGTACATGAAGTCATACACAGTCGTCCAAAGTCCCCTTATGAACACAAGGCCCACCTGTCATCCCACCCCTGCAATGTGCATTCTTTGAGGTAAAATTGGGTGAGCAGTTGGTTTCTCTTGAACTCGGCACCGGAGGGGGACTGAGATCCAGAGGAGCTTGTGGGCAAATGTCTGGTACTAGTTCAAGGTCAGTGTCTTTGCCCCCCACCCCCTTCCCGGGAGCACTGGAGGCAACAAACCAGGGCAGACAAGCAGTGGTGCTATCCTCTCTCCATCCCCTTTCCCAGCCTGAGTAAGCGCCCCCGCAGCCCTGGAGGGGCCTGAGTGGGCTGAAGGCAACTGTGGGACCAACTACTGGTCCCCATCCTGCTCTCAGCCATATCATAAACTTGCAGGATTCTTTTTTTTTTTTAATAGATTTTATTTATTCATTCATTCATGATAGACACACACACAGAGAGAGAGAGAGAGAGAGAGAGAGGCAGAGACACAGGCAGAGGGAGAATCAGGCTCCATGCAGGGAGCCCAACATGGGACTCGATCCCGGGTCTCCAGGACCACTCCCTGGGCCAAAGGCAGGCACTAAACCACTGAGCCACCCAGGTGTCCCAACCTGCAGGATTCTGACCCAGTGGTTGAGAATATCCCACACGCATCTGGACAGTTCATCATCCACCTTGTCAATTTGTCCCATATGGGACATG